GCTCTTTATGATCAGTTCTTTTTCTGTTTGCTCATTTTTCTAGCCTACTTCTTGACTCCTGACTTTATGTTAGTGCGTTCTGCTCACTAATGAGGGAAATGTCTGGCCTGAGAGGCTGTCTTTTTATGTCCTTCTGATGCTTTCATAGCTCAGTCTGGGGGCCTGTAAGTTTTTGGTGCTTCCAAAATGGTGTGGTCCAGGAGGAGATCTGTTTACTGCCCTCCTGGTCTGAGCTCTGTAAGTTCCTGACCCAGATTTGGGTCTGCTGACTTGTGTGTTAGTTCAGTTTCCATAGACTGCTGCAGGACTCAGTCACTGCCAGCCCACTGCGAGGTTCTGCAGATTTCAAGTGACTGAACTGCTAGCTTGGTCTGGGGCTCCTGTCCTGGTCATTCCACTGCAGAATTATATGTGGGGCTCCTTGCTCCTTACACAGGAAGGGCTCCTCTCCAGCCTAGAATTGTGATTTGGGAATGGCTCCCATTCCTGCTCCCAGTGCGGGTACCAGGATCCCCTAGGAGCCCTTTCAGACCAGCTATTTCCTGTCCACCTGGGCTTCAGTTCCCTTGCTGCTCCACCGCCCCTGCGTTCCTGGCCAGCCCATGCCCCAGTGTCCACAGACCTCTCTATCTTCCAAAGCTGCCCAGGGCTGGAAAAATGACTCACTGTGACTTTTTCTTGCCTGTCCCACTCAGAATTTGGTCTGGCATTTTTTTTTTAGGTAGTTGCAGAGTAGGTTGTGAGGAATCTAAGGCAAAAATCCTACCTCTCACTCTACCATCTTGACTCCGCCCTCACTTCTGTGTATCAGCAAAACCACACCCACAGGCACTCTGATGCCAGAGCAGACAGCTTTAGATTTTCACAAGGGCATCCAGCCCACGATGAGCATCCCCATCCCACAACTCTTCTCCCCTCGAATCTCGGCCAAAGGCCCAAGGATCTCATTTTCATTTCAAGGATTTCACTCAGCTGTGACATGCAAGCTATCACAGTCAAAATAGTCCATGGCCTAAACCAGGAAGAGGAAAGAGGCAACTCTAGGAAGGAAACGGAAACAACAGGGACCTCAAGGCAGACCACCTTACAGCCACTGACCTTAATGACTGGGATGGCTCCACCTGCTACAAGTTACCGCCTTCATAAATGAAATATTCACAGGTACCAAGCATTTAGAGTGAGATCTTCCAGATTGTTCCATCCCCTCAATTACAGGAGAATCTACCAGGGATCAGGGCATGCAGCTCCAGGCCTCGTGGAAAGTCACCAAACCCAGTACAGGCGTGACATCCTGCTGCCATCAGTTCTGAAGGTCATAATTTGGGGTATCAGCTGTTAGATTCCCTTCAGACAGATGTCTACATAAAAATCACACAACATTTTCTGAGATATGTAACTACAAAGAACTTCATTCGATGATCTCCTGGTCTTAACATCAAACACGGTGTTGAAGAGATTAAGATTGATTCTGCATCATTTTCTTATTGATACTATTTACAATCATTGGATTTTGTCCTGTAACTGCTTAAGTCGTGGTTCTTTGTCTCTGAAATGAGTTTAGAGTTCAGCTGACCTGTAATGGGTTAAGTTTCAAAATCCAGCTCTCTTGCCTCAAGGAATTTAATCAACCCTGGGAAATGTGTGGGAACACAAGGGAGTTTGCACCTGCTATGTTCACACCACCAAGCTATCCTTCAAGGATGCCTGGTTTGCTGTCCAAGAGTGGGCTGCCATTTCACACCTGAACTCAAACAATGAGCAATTAGGGTTGTCTCTTGGTCTCATGAGAGAAGGGAGGTCGTTGCTAGCTCTCATGACCAAACTTCCAACCAATCATGTTGTTCCCTGCTCCTCAACTTTGTAATCAGTCATTTTGGACTCAATCCCATGATGTTGTCTACCCTAAAACCTATGAAAAGGGAACTGTCTGTCTATTCAGGGTCTTTGGCATAAACAGTGGCAAGCCATTGACCATTTATTGACAGGTAGCACATCCCCGCTAATAAATGTTATCTTGTGTGGAGATCTGCCTCAGTTTACCCTTTTGTTAAAATTCAAAGGCTATTGTGCCAAGGAGGGAGCTCTATGAATCCATAATGATCTTATTACCAGGATTATGGAAAATGTTCTATCCAGAATCTAAACAAAGGATTCCCTATTGAACTTCTGCAGTTTCTTTCACTTGGAGGCCGAAAGAATTGAATGTGGATGGTGAGGAGCACGGTAACCCCCATGCAGAGGAGAGTCTAACTACGAGTGCAGCTGTACTGGTAGAGAGGGTGGTCTGCACACTCATCGGGGTTGAGGGGAAGGGAAGTCCAGAGGAGGGCTTAGGTTTAGTGACCTAGGGCTGGGCAAGGGAACATGGCTTCATCTTGTGGCTGTACAGGCTGGTAGAGGCCTGTGAGGCATGGGAATAGCAGTCTCTAGATGACCCCCATGGACTGAGGTCAGCACCAGGCCTCCATTGCTAGTTAAAGATGACCTTTTACCAATGCAGCAAGCCCCAGAACATCATAAATCCTCAGCAAATCAAGAGATTAGTCTAACCATATATACTACAAAAAGTGGGTGATAAGAGCCTAACACCCAAATTCTACTCTGCAGCTTGTCAAAGTGGTCCAGTCCTTGCAGAAATACAGCAAATGGACAATGAACTGGGTCCTAAATGAGGAGAAACTAGACTTGAATCATATTTGAGAAATCACATGGCCCTTTCTAAGACCCTGAACTACTGACTGCAACAAAAACCCTTATCTTCTTTTTCTCCAATACATTTTTATTTATTTCATTAACTATTTCTCAACTACATGTAAACATTTTTTTTTAACAAAAAGCCCTGTTTTGAAACATGAAAAATTCTGCTTATGACCACATCTGTGTGTTTGGCTGCAAATCAAACAACTTGATGAACTTAGAAGAATCTGACTTATTTGAGCCCCCAAGGGCAATGGGAGGATGCTGGAGAGCTGAAAGTAGAAAGTGGCACCTTACTAACAAATCATCTGCATATAACGGGAGAAGCCAGCGACACATCAGAGGACTCGAAGGGTAGGACTGGAAAAGGAGATGGGCCAGTCCTGTAGGGAGAACAGCTTCCTCTGATGTACATTGCTTCCTCCAAGGGACTCAGAGAACAAGAAGGATGCCTGCAGCACACGGTTAGATGGCAGCTCGATGGCTCCATGGAAAGAGGGCCAGGCCTGGAGTCAGGTGACCCACTCACTGTGTGACAAGTTACTTCACCTCTGTTTGCCTCAGTTTCCTCATCTGTGAAATGGAGATAACGAGAGCCCTATCTCCCAGGGTTTAAATGAGATCAAATGAGATAATAATCACAAAGCCATTGGCACAGTGCCCGGCACATAGTAGGTGCTATATAAATGTTAGCTATTATAATTCTACAGAGGCTTTCTTTGCTGGATTTTTGTACCTCTTTTACCAAGCTCTTGGCTCTTTTTTCATGATTTTCTTGTACCACTCTTATTTTTCTTCCCAATTTTTCCTCAGTCTCTCTTCCTTGACATTTAAAACCCTTCTTTGGATGCAGACTTTGTTGTCTTCTGAGTTTGTGTTTTGAGCTTCCCTTTCACCACAGTAACTTTCTATAGTCAGGATCTTTTTCTGCTGTTTCCTCATTTTCCTAGCCTATTTCCTGACTTTTAACTCTATGCTAAAGTGGGGCTCTGCTTCTGGAGTGGAGGGCTTACTGCCCCAAGCTTCAGGGTTTTTTTGTGAAGCTGTTTTCAGAGATAATTCTGGGGGGCTGTAAGTTTTTGGTTCTTCCAAGGTGGTCTGATCCAGGAAGAGGTGTGTTTACTGCTCTCCTGGCCTGTGCTCTGGTCTGAGTGACCACAAGCACTCTTTTCTGCCTTGGAACTATCAGCAGGGTCCCAGCTCCCCTATGGCAGCAAGCTCTGGTGTGCTAGTGCTCCTCCTTCTGGGACTGAGACCCAAGACCGCAACCCAGCACCAACTATGGGCAATGCAACAGAGTCCTGTAATCTCCTTCTTTTATGGAGGGTTTCTAGGAAAACTTGGATAATAATCCCCCGGATGAGGAGACTTCAGGGGATTCTCAGTTTCAGACATGAGGAGATGGAGTGTTCACACCAACGCAACTGAGAATGAGCTGTGTCTCCAGGAAGTTACTGTCATGAACAGATTATTATAACGTATTTTATGATGTTACACATCACAAAACCATGATAACCCATGAAAACAAAATATTACTACTGAGCCTCTCCCAATAGGATGGGTTAGAACACCAGGCTCCCATAACCTCACAGAAAAATACCTCCTAAGGGGTAAACTCTGGTCTCTGATACTTAGGAACACCGTGACCATGAGGAAGTCTTTTAGCGTTCTGGGCCTCAATTTGCTCATCTGAGGATGGGGATAATAACATTCGGCGTAACTACCCCACCAGGTTGTTGCGAGGCTCAAACGAGGGAAAGTATGGAACCACGTGGCTGATCGCTATGTCTGTTACTGATCATTATTTTTGCTAAGAAGAGCTCCAAGCACTTTCAACGTGATATGATGTATTCTTCCTCCCATCAGGTATTACAGAAAAAGCACTGGTTTGAACTCTAGGACTACATGAGGATGACCCTCTGAGATCACCTGATCCAAGTGCTCCTTCTTACAGATGAGGAAACTGAGGCCTCAAGTGGGGAAGTGACCTGCCCAAAGTCACACAGGGATTAAGAGGCAGAAAGTGTGCCGGTGACCACTGTGGAACTGGGGCATGTCCCTACACAAGCTCTCTCGGCTTCCATGTCCACACTTGTAAATGAGGGATGAAACGCGGTCCTTACTGGTCCTTTGGAGCTCTGACGTCTAAGGTGACATCTATTGTCAGTCAGACGTCCTGACAGGCACAAAATCAGTTTACCTTCAGATGGTGGGGAGAGTCAACCACAGCGATGGAGGACAAGGAGATGAGCCTCCTGAATGCTAGCAGAGAACAGAAAGCAGAGCCCACGCGTGAGGATTACCTGTACGCATTTTTGGAAACAGGGTGAGGATCGAACTTAAAGAAGATGATACACATGGGGAAGGTCTCTGAGGCGGCTGCTTCTTGCAAACACGGTCAGTTCAGTCTGTGGGCAGAGGAACAAAAAGGGTTCCGTCATCCAGTGACCAACAACCCCAAGTCAGGTCAATAAGCACTCGGGATACTCGACGTTGGGCACACCTTCCAACTACACGTTCAACCCCTGGTTACTCTTTCTGAAAACATTTCAGCAAGGAGCAATTCATTAGGTGATTGGCCCTCCAAATGGTGCTGGGCCTGAGCATAACGTGCTCCAGGAGCTAGCCACCATTTTACTGTATTAAATTGATTCAACCAATATTTTATCAAATGCCTCCTAGGTGCTAGTAGGGATAAAAAAATGAAAACAGCGCTTGCCCTCAAGGAGCTTACATTCTACCAAAGGAAACAAGGGGACTTCCTTCCAGCTTAAATATACATACATAAGAAAATACACACTTGTTTCAGGGCTGGATCTGAGATTTCATTGGTGCAGAGAACTTACCTGTTAAGACACTCTCTCTACCATAGCAGTCTGAGGGTTTACCTGAGGCCTAGAGGGCTGCAGTAGATAGACAGCTAGGCCTGGAGTCAGGAAGACCTGAGTTCAAATCGGACCTCAGACACTTACTAGCTGTGAGACCTTGGGCCAGTCACTTCACCCTATTTGCCTCAGTTTCTTCAACTGTAAAATGAACCGGAGAAGGAAATGATAAATTATTCCAGTATCATTGCCAAGAAAACCCCAAATGGAGTCACGAAGAGCTGGACGTGACTGAAAAACAACCGACCACCATCACCACCATCAACATAAAGAAAGCCAGGGAGGTCAGCAGTCAGAGCAGAGGATGGAGGGCATGGGGGACAGCCACAGAGTATGCCAAGAGAGGGAGAGATGGAGCATTTTGTTTATGGAACAGCCAGGAGGCCACCATCACTGGATGGAAGAGTACTTACTGGGGAGTAATGTGTGAGAATACTAGAAAGGTAGGAGGGAGCTAGTTTATGAGAGCACACACACACACACACACACACACACACACACAAATTACATTTGCCATATGTAAAATGTCACAGCTAAGAACCGATTTTGGACCTTGTACACAGAGGCCAATTGGCCACTTCTTTCTACTATCAATTCTAAGCCTTTGTTTGGCTTTCTTAGTTTATTAGGGTTTTTAATTGCCTATCAGGAAGAAAAAGCCAAGCTGAAATTTCATAAATATGTGCGAAGCCCACTGTCCTTCATCTGTAGAAGGATCTAGTCAGGAGTTCTAAGGAGTTCTAAGCTAAAAGCCAATTAGTCCTCTCCAAAGAATTACAAGCAGCATCCTAATTCCTAAATTTACTAATACCTCTTGTTAGTCAACATTCATTCTTAACACACCTGTCAAGTGAGGACGAATGCCCTAACAGATGGTCATTCCTTTTGCACCGGTATCTGAAGCAAGTTAACAATGAGCAGTCAGAGAAGTGATGATCGTCTCATGAAGAAGTGTATTTCATCATCCTCTCTGGCCCACAATTCATTTGGGATGGATCCTACCATCTCACAGCCTCTACCCAGAGACAAGCTAGGCACGTCATAAGTTTCCCTAAGGCCTGCCTCCTCCAAGACGCCTGACCCACAGCTGTCCTAGGATATCTTGGCGAGATAGCACAGCAATCAAAGCCCCCATCAAGGCTATGAAGGCTCTGCTGCTACTGTCCCGTCCAAGCCTTCTAACTAGCATTGACCTGACTGGCCGCCAAGATGGTGATATTCCTCAGAGTGAAGGCACTGTGCCCTTCCTGTGGGCTCCATTTCACTTGGCCCTCAAGATCCTATTCCTCAGGTCAGCAAGCAGGGTGGGCAGAGTGGGACTGTGCTACCAGTGGCCAGCGACCCGGGTTTTCTACATCTCTACCCATCTCTACGGGAACTGCTGGACACCCTTGGCCTTGGGAATAAGCCAGGTATCTGACGCCCACCTCAAATACACGATACACCTTTGCAATAAAACTGGCTACTAACCTCAAATTGTTCATGCAGTTTCTTCCCTGGCAATCCTTGAGCTCACCAAGGCCCTCTGAGTAGGGCCGATGAAGCCCACAGGAAGGTGCCGGGCTGGGGCTGGCGCTCCACGTCAGGGCCGGCTGACTAGTGAGGGGCAGGCCTGACACAAGCTGGATGTGCACTCAGCAGGGCTGACCCCACCCAGTGGCGGCAAACAGACCTTACACAAAAAGTGCCAACACCACCCACCTGCCCCCAAAGTCACGGGAGCCGCATCAGGGCTCGGCAGCAACAACAAGACAGTACGTCCGGCTGTCCAGGTTTATGGCCTCCGTCCGTTCTGCTACACTCAAGCTCTGGTCCTCTCAGACCTCCTAAAATCAACACCTGGGCCTCAGCAGCAGGTGCCTGTCTTGAGAATCTCAGAGTCTCAAAGGCAGGAGAGCATCGGCCTATCTGAAGCAGGAATCCCCGCCTACGGTAAATATCCCCCCAGACCGGCTGCCCAGCTTCCCCTTGAAGACACCTAGAGCCTTTCAAGCCTGCGGGAACACCCAGCACTGTTCTGATCCAACAGCTGCCTGTCTTGGCATCGGCATTTGCTGCTCTCGACGGCAAACCCCAAACAACAGATGAACGGACAGGCTGCTAGCGACAGGCACATGTGTGGTGCAGAATGTGTCCCAAGAGAGTTTGAGCCTGCCTTCTTCATGCAGTTACACGAAGGCAGGAAGCGCCTCCTGTTTCTTAGTGTTCTGATCCTTGGCTTATTTCAGAATCTGAATGAGCCTTTCAGGATTTTCTGCATTTGAGTTCCAAGAGAAAGCAGACATTTTCCACCACATTTAACACTATTTTGCTCCTACCATCAAAACCAGAGCTGCAAGCGCCGCATTTATACAGATTTCAAATGAACAGCCTGCCACTCGCTACTTGCTCTGTCAGGCCACGATCAGCACTACAGTGAGCTGGCTGTCAGGGCCACAGAAAGCCAATTCTAGCTCCGAGACATTAATGCCAGACAAAGCCGTCCTCTGATGCTGCAGGTGAAAAAAACGTGAGATGGAGAAAACGGAGGCCCTTCGATGTGCACACTCTCTTCTCCCATTCTCATCCCCTCCAAAGCCCTTGACATCGCCCCCACACTCTCCAACTCTTCCTGGCTCGGACAATGAGGTAGTCCCTCTCCTTGCCAAGGCCAATCACCCTACATGTGCATCTCCTCCAGCAGACTGGGAGCTCTCTCTGTCTCTGTCTCTGTCTCTCATCTTCAACCTCTCCTCATCCATTGGGTCTTTCCCTACTACCTTCAAATAGGCCCAAGTGCCCTTCATCACTAGACCATGCCAATCTCTCAAGCTGCCATCCTACATTCCTCCTCTCCTTCTCAGCCAAACATCCTAGAAACAATCTGGTCAGATTTGCCTTTTCCACACGTACCTTTTACTCGCTCCTCGGCCCTTTGCAATCTGCCTTTCAACCTCATCATTTCCCTGAAATCACCTTCTCCAAAGTCACCAATGATTTTGCCAAATCTGCTGTGGTCTTTTCCAATCCTCATCCTTCTGGACCTTTCTGCGACAAGTGACAATACTGACTACCTTCTCCTCTTGAATACTTTAGGCTTGCACAACCTACAGCCCTCAGGCCACAAGTGGCCCACCAAAGGATTTTGAGTGGCCCGCAAAAAATGGAGGGTTGAGGAGCAGCTAGGTGGCGCAGTGGATTGAGCACTGGCCCTGGAGTTAGGAGAACCTGGGTTCAAATCTGGCCACAGACACTTGACACTTACTAGCTGTGTGACCCTGGGCAAGTCACTTAACCCCAATTGACTAAAAATAAAAAAAGGCGGGTTGCCACTGCACATTCTTTCTCCTGTTTGTTACGTGACCCTCGGCAACCACCCACTGTCAGTCTGTCTGTAATCTAACCTATCTGTGGCCTGAAGAAGTTTAGCCTATTTTAATTTTCGCCCCTACCTACTGCCAAGTTGTGCAGGTCTGCTCTAGCTTCTCTGAGACTTCATGACACTTTCTCCACCCTGATTCTCTGACCCATCTAATCTCTCCTCAGCCTCCTTTGCTGGTTTATCACCTAGATCACGTGCCCTAAGTGTGGGTGTTACCCAAGCCTTTGTCACAGGCCCTCTATTTTTCTCTCTCTCTCTCCTTCCTCCCTCCCGCCCCCCTCCTCCCTCTCTCCCTGTCTCCCTGTCTCCCTCCTTCTCTCTCCTCTCATCAGTTCCAATGGATTCAACGATCATCTCTATGCCAACGACTCCTAGTTTCAGCCTCCAATGGGTTCCAATATCATATCACCAACTGCTTATTGGACATTTCACACTGGATGTCTCAGAGGCATCTCCAACTTACTTTGTCCAAAAGAGAACTCATTCTCTATCTGCCCAAACCATCTTCTCTCCAAACGTGCCTGGCTCTCCTGCAGGCACTCCCCTTCATGCAGGCTCCCAGCTTTGCAGCCTTGACATGCCCAACTCCTCCCTCTCCCCCACCCCACACAGCCAGTCAGTCGCCAAATTGCGTCATTTCTTGCATCTAAGCCCTTCCCTGTAATCACACGTCTTCGCTCAAGCCTCCCCAGGTGGCCTCCTTGTCTTAAGCATCTCCCCACTTCAGTCCACCTTCCACATCACGACCAAGGTGACTCTTTTCAGGTATACATCTGCCCATGTCACTCCTCTTCCCGATAAATTCTGGTGGTTCCCTACTGCCTTGAGAATCAAATCGAGGCTCTTCTCCTCAGCTTTGACAGCCTTCCCACCCTGACTGAGCTCTACCCATCTTTCCGGCCTCGCTGTACATTCTTGCCCTTCCTTCACTTCGGTCCAATCAAACCTTTACTTGGCCTTTACTCGGTCCCTCAGACAGGCACCTCCCTCCCCCACCTCCAATGGGCTCTGCCATGCTGGGGATGCCCTCCCAGGCCCCTCCACTTCCCAGCTCAAACAGCACCCCCTCTGCGACGTCATTCCTGACCCACTCCACTGCCTAGGACACTCCCTCCCCTTGAATACCTCGTCTTTAACTA